GACACTCTGTTAATTGGCGAGAACGACTCGCGCGTGAACGACTTCTTGGCAGCAGTTGCGGCGGCAGGCAGGAGGTATGGCATGGAACTGCACTGGCATAAGTTCCAGGTCTTGACTGTGCAGTCGGCTGGCGACATCCGCGCCCCTGAAGGCTCTCAGTTGAAGCACGTGGAGCACTTGCCCTATCTGGGCGCGCAGCTCGCGGCTGACGCGAACATGAGCCACGAGCTGGGCATGAACATCGGGGAAGCCCGACGAACGTTCACGGCTCTGCGCATGGTGTGGTCCCACTCGTCGTTGACTTGGAGCCGGAAGCTCCGCATTTACGCTTCCATCGTCGAATCGAAGCTGCTCTACGGGCTCAGCAGCGCGTGCTTCACGAAAGCGCAGCTGCGTCGTATCGATGGATTTCAAGACAGATGCTTGCGTATGATCATCGGGGTGAAGCCGTCATTTATTTCACGCACATCCCACCGGGACGTCTTAACGATAACAGGACATGAGGCGGCCAGCGCGCAGTTGTTGTTCAGGCAGCTACAGCTTTTCGGCCAAGCGCTGCGCGCCGATCCCGCTCATCCACTCTACGCCTGTTCTTTCGCCGCCGGCACGAGGCCGGCCACGGATAGATACGTGGGGCGAGTGGGCCGCCCGCACAAGGAGCTCGCGCCCGAAATGACCGAGCACGCAACGTGCATCTTCGGCAACATGACAGTAGCGGCGCAGACAGCCTGCACCCGGGCGCTGTGGGGGCGCCGATGCCGGCAGCACGTATTCCACTAGCGCCACGCTGTGCGCCCAGCCTGCTGGTCCCTTGGGCCCCTCCTTCCTGCCTTGTCCCGTCTCTGGCTCTCGGCTCCTCCTCCCTCCTCTCCCTCTCCGTGTCCTCCCCCCCTTGCCCCTAGTGTTTCCTTGCCCTTGTGTCTTGTGTGCTCCCCCTTCGTCCCCTCGCTTTGTTCCCCCCCCTTCCCCGTCTCCTCGTCTGTCCGTCCGTCGGCCCGGTCTGTCCTTCCCTGTCGTCCTTCCTCGCCCCCTCCCCTTGCCCCTCTCGCTCCTCGGCTCCTCGCTTTCCCGTCGGCCCCGGTTTCTTGCCTTGCCCGCGTTTCTTTGTCGGCCTGTCCTGTTGACCGAATAAGAGAGCGCTGTATTTTTCCACTTGTGCTTGCGCCCACGCACCGCCTGGTGCATGGCTTGTCTGTCTGTCTGTCTGTCTGTCTGAAAGAGCCCCAAGACGGCCCCAGAGAGCCCGAAAATTGCCCAGGAGGAGCCCCAGACGGCACAAGAGGCCCCAGGACAGGTCCAAGATGGGCCACAGAGCAAGAGCGGGGGGCCCCAGGGCGCTCGAAGACGGCTAAGATGGCCAGGGCCTCCACCCTCCGTCGCTCCTTCCCTCCCGCCCCCCCCGTTGCCTCCATTCCCTCCTCTCTTTCCTTTTCCTCCCCTCGCCCTTCAGATTTCGCGTTCCCCCGCCTCTCCTGGGACGGCCCCGCCAGAACGCCAGACAGGCCCCGCCAGAGCGAGCGGGGCATCGCTATACCCTATCATTTCACAAATTGCCTTGCCCCTTCCACCCTTCAAGGGTGGCCCTGGCACATTGGGGGAGGTGTCGTATACCATATATAGTCCCTGTTCTTTCTTGCTCCTCCCACCGCACCCGAGGTAGCCCCGTCAGAGCGCACGGGGCGTGGCTATACCATAATTTTCCTCCGGTTTCGTGTTCCTTCCTCCCTTTTTGGGCAAGCCCCGCCAGAGCGCCAGGGAAACCCCCGCCAGAGAGAGCACGGCACCCATACACCAAAGTCTTTCACGCGATTCTTGCCCCCCCCCACCCTTGCAGGGCGGACCCGCCCGACCGAGCGGGGTGTGGCTATATTGCATAATTTATCAGGTTTCGTGCCCTTCCCGCACCCCCTGACAAAAAATGCCTCGTCAGAGCGCCAAAAAGGTATTGCCAGAGGCCCCGTCAGAGCTCCAGGCAGCCCCATACATGGGACTTGCCAGGGAAATCGTTGAGTATCCCTCGTGAGCGCGAACCTTCTGATCCCACGTGTGCGATTATTGCTGGCAAGAGGTTTGGTGTCCAGCACAAAGAAGCTTTTCCATTCCCGTGGACGGACTCGACAGCAACTGGTTGCAGAGAAGGGCACCGATGACCGGGACATCTGCGCGCGCCCTCTGCAGATACCCGACAGCTGAACGGCCGTTGAAAACGAGAAACTTGGAGCACAAGGAAGAGGAACAACAACAATGCGCTCTCACGCGCGCGCGGCAAACCCCCGGTCCAACCCCAACATCAGGAGCCGGCGATTGTCTGCGTGATGGGGCATGGGGAGATCGAGCAGATGGGCAAAATCTTTCAGTGCCACGACGGGGCAGGGCGGAAGTGAAAGTGGAGAAAACACGCAGTTCGATAAACCAAACAGAGGCGACAGCGAGGTTGTGAGATACGCGGGGGCGTGGCGCCCCGCGTTCTGACTATGCGTTTCTTTGCGTCGATGGCATGGGCCCGAGAACGCTGGAAATCGTCGTTGTGGCCACATCGGGGTTTACAGCGGCACCGGTGGTTCATCCGCGACTGGGGCCTAAGCGCGCACGTAGCGCGCGCGTGGTTCTAGTATATATGTAAGTCACTACACATGTATATAATTGAAAGAACGTGTTCTACCGCTGCTGGCGGAAATCCGGGGGGGACACTACCGGTTCGAACCCCTCCCCCCCCCTCAGGAAAACCGGGTGGGGTCGCTACCGGTTCGAACCCCCCCCGCCCCCCCAGCTCATCATGAAAAGGGGAGGGGGTCACTACCGGTTCGAACCCCCCCCCCCCCGAACTCGAAAACTGGTGGGGGTCACTACCGGTTCGAACCCCCCCCCCTCGAAAACCGAGGGGGGGTGCGGACAGTGGTGGGGACGGTTGTGGTGGGGGCAGTGGTGAGAGGACAACGGGACAGTGGTGGGGACAGTGGGACAGTGGTGGGGACGGTAGTGGTGGGGACAATGGTGAGGACAATGGTGGGAACAGTGGGGACAGTTGGACACTGGTGGGGACGGTGGTGGTGGGGGACAGCGGTGTGGGGACAGTGGGACAGTGGTGGAAACAGTAGGAGAGTGGAGGGTACAGTGGTGGTGGGGACAGAGGTGAAGGCGGTGGCGAGGACGGTGGTGGGACAATGGGACAAAGGTACAGTGGGGAGAGTGGTGGGGACAGTGGGGACAGAGGTGGGAACAGTGGGACAGCTCAGTGGTTCGAACCGGTAGTGACCCCCCCTTCCGGTTTTCGAAGGGGTGGGGGGGGGGGGGTTCGAACCGGCAGGCCCCCCCCCCGGCTTTCGAGTTCGAGAGGGGGGGGGGGAGGGGTTAGGGGAGGGGTGGTTTTGCCGGGGGAAGGGGGGGGGGGGGGGCGGTCCAGCAGAGGGGGGGGGGGGATTTTCGGAGGGTGGGGGGGGAAACCCCCGGGCTCCGGAGGAAAAGGGCGGCAATTTTCCACAGTAAAGCGGCGGTGGATCACGCTCTCTCTCTCTCTCTCTTTCTCTCTCTCTCTCTCTCTCTCATATGTATATATATATATATATATACAAGGCTGCAGTGGCGCTTCGCACCATACACCTTGGTCCTTGAAGTTTGGCATGCAGGCGGAATGGCAGCAAGGTCAAGCCGACAATTTAGCGATAACTCCTGATTGCCTTTTCTGGCATTGCCGCTATAATGATGTTATTAGTTATCCTTTCCTCCATGCCTATTGTTCCTTATTTTCGCCATACCCTGCGCATTCTCCCTATCTTGCTCAGCTCTTTTTTGCGGAGGCTCCTCCTTGGAGAGCCTCTAGGGGCTTCACAAAAGTTGTTTCAGGCTTTCTTAATGCCTTGTGGAAGCCTCCTGGGCGTATTCTGGGGGCCTCTGGGGGCTTCCTTGGGCCACCCTGCCTCCAACCGCCGTCTCCCTGAACGACCGAAACACGATTTGGAATTCTTCGGAGGGTGTCTTTGGGCCATCTTGGGCCGCCATGGGGCTCTCTGAGGGCCATATTGGATCCGTGTTGTGCCGTTTTGGGGCTCTCTTGGACTGCCTGGAAGCCCTTTCGGATGGTTGTGGGGCGATTCGGGAAAGAGAGTTCCAGTGGATTCAGTTTCTTAAAAAAATGCCATCAATGGCGGTTAGAAGCTGCAGTTTCATCTCGTGGTTCGTCTCTTAAGTGACCGAGCATGCGCTTGCCCACGAGATTAACCGCCATTGGATCAGCCATCATCACATGACCATAAACTTCGGATTAATGAAATAAAATATGGAAAAAAAGGAAGAGTCCGAAGTTGCCATGTGATTAATCGATGGCTGATCGATAATTTTCCTTGAAGTTAACATTGCCTCTCCTTTTTTTAAATTTGAGATATTGAAGAGAAAAATTAGACATGTTAACAGGAACATGATCTACGGTAAAGATCTTTGTGATTTTTATTTGTTGACATGGTCCTCAAGATCAATTATAAGATGGCAACAATAAAATGACATTTGATGTCTTTCTTGTCATTACTGTTCACTTTTCTTAACATTTCTTATCTTGAATGCCCATATGATGGGTCTTAAGACCAGACATTCAAGAACAAAATGGGAATGTGCAGGAATCCAGAGACCCCCAGCAGGTTTACTGACAGAGATCATGCCGTTGCTGGTATGGCTCTAGGCAAGCATCCGAAGAAAATATCTCGCCATGGTAGCGTAGCCGTGGTCCCGACCCTCCCAGTCCACAGGGTCGGGCTCCGCGGCTCCCTCTCCCGCCAGCGGCGCGGGGAGCCCCGGCAGCCTGGGGCCGGCCGCCGGTGCGGGAGCCGCAGCAGGGCCTGCCGGGCCCAGCTCCAGCGAGGGCGACGAGTGGGAGCTCGTCGAGGTCCATCGAGGCTGGAGGAGAATGGCGAGGCAGCTACGCAAGCTGTTCAGGCTGAGGAGGACCTGGGCAGCGCTGGGCCAGCACCTGAAGGATTTCACGAAGCTGCGCGCGAACCGCCGCTGAGATGGCGGAGGAGCGCGTGCAGGCTCTCGAGCAGCAGATGATAGCGCTGGCCCAGGAGCTGCAGAACCGCCAGCAGAGGGAGAACGATCTCACGGCCGAGGTGCAGCGGCTCGGCCGTGTGGCCGAGGCTAGACCACGGGTGGACGGGCCTATGCCACAGCCTCGAGCCGAGTCGCTCGTGGACACCCGCACGCTGGGCAAGCCAGACGTGTTCACGGGCGAAGAGCACAAGTGGAACGATTGGAAGGTGATCTTCAAGGCGTACTGTGGCGTCGTGAACGCCGACTTGCTGGCAGGGATGCGACTGGCAGAGAGCGCTGACGAGGCCTCAGTTCAGAACGATGACTTCCTCGAGGAGAACATGAGGCAGGCCTCGCAGCAGCTGTGTTACATCTTGCTCCTCCTCTGCCGGCAGCATCCCCTGACGACGATCGTGAATGCTGGCGAGAATGAGGGCTTCCAGGCTCGGCGCAAGCTGGTTGAATATTACGAACCGAATGCGAGGTCCCGCATCGCGGGGCAGCTGCTGCATCTCCTGAACTTCTCGTTCACTGGCGATGTCGAGGACCGGCTGGGGCTGTTCGAGCGAGAGCTCCTCAGGTACGAGCAGAGGAGCGGCGAGGCCATCACAGCCTCCATGAGGATCGGCATCGTCCTTCGGCTACGCCAGAACCTCTTGCTCAATGCGACCAGGCTGGTGGAGCGGCAGGACTTCCGACGTGAGGTCACCGACATCCGCCGTGCCCAGAGCGCCATCGCCCCGGTGCCCGTGCCCATGGACCTGAGCGCGTTCACCAAGGGTGACGGCATGGGCAGGTTCAAGGGCGACAGCAAGGGCAAGAGCAAGTCCAGTGGCAAGGGCAAGAGCAAGGGCGACAGCAAGGGCAAGTCCAAGTCCGACGGCAAGAGCAAGACCAGCAGCAAGTCACATGGTCAGCAGCTCGGGCCACTCTGCTGGGGCTGCGGCGGCCGCGGCCGCACTCAGCGTGAATGCCCGAGCCAGCACAGGGGGGCGTTGGCGAGCATGGAGCAGACGCTGGCTCGCATCAACGCCTCCCAGTCGACGAGTACGACCGTACCATTGGCGGCCAGCTCAATCTCGACGGCTGCGACTACGAGGCTGAGTCCGGCGACGGCGATGTCCGGCGCGAGCTCTCGACAGGTCGCAGCGCTCTACCTGAACGACGCGGGCGAGCAGGTCAGCTACCCGTTCGCGAACCTCCACTCCCTCAGCATCTACGACCCGGGGCCGGACAAGGCGGACGTGGTCGACTCTGCGACCGGCGCGGCCCTGGACCTGAACATGATCCACGGCAACTCGGATGCGGAGGAGGTCGAGCTCAACGGCATCTTGCGCGTGGGCGTCGACTCGTGTGCGGCGGCATCGGTGCTGCCGCGTGGCTCGTGCACGGGCTACCCGGTGCACGAGGGCGGCCAGGCGATCTCGTGCAAGGCCGCATCTGGCCACTACGTGAACGACGAGGGCGAGAAGATCCTCGTGGGGGCGATGCCTGGGGCTTCTCAGGCACGCGCTGCCAAGTTCAGGGTGGCGGACATCAGCAAGCCGTTGCTGAGCGTCGCGGAGATGGTCGACTCTGGCCATCGGCTCGTCTTCGACTCGGAGGGCGGGCAGGACATTAGCTACGCGTGCCACAAGACCAGCGGAGACGTTGTTAGGTTCTGCCGCAGGAATAAGGTCTACGAGATGGATGTGCACGTCGACCCGTACGTGCCGGAGGTCTGCCCGGTCGAGGTGGCAGGCCACGAGCCTCCCGAGGGTGAAGCCGGCCAGCCAGGCGCGGCTCACGAGGAGGTCGCCGAGGGCCCGCCGGCACGGCCAGCGAGGGGGCCCGCAGCGCCGACGGCGGCCGAGCGAGCCGCGCACGAGGTGCTGCACGAGCCCTACAGGGCATGGTGCCGGGAGTGCGTCTCCGACAGAGGCCTGTCAGCAGGCCATCAGACGAAGGACCACCAGGAGTCGGCGTTCGCGGTGGTTGGCATCGACTACGGCTACCTCGGTGAACGAGAGGACGCCACGCCGCTGCTGATCGGGAAAGATTCGAAGCAGCGTTGGTTCCACGCGTCGGTGGTGCCAGCTAAGGGGACGCAGCATCCCTGGCCGGCAAAGTCGTGGTCCAGGAGGCTGGCATCGGCTGGCCACAAGCGCTTCGTCTTCCGCTCAGACGGCGAGGCGCCGCTCGTCGCCCTGAAGACCCGCATCGGGGCCAAGCTCAAGGAGGAGTGCGGCATCGAGAATGTGCCCGAGGAGAGCGCGGTCGGCAACTCTCAGGGCAACGGCCTGGCCGAGCACGCGGTGCGCGAGGTCAAGGCCAAGGTGAGGACGGTGCGGGCGCAGGTGGACGACCTCCACGGCGTGAGCATTGGCGTCGAGCACCCAGTGACCCCGTGGATGGTCGAGTTCGCAGCCATGTCCATCAACCTGGGCAGGCGGGGAAGCGCAAGGCTGGGATCGAGGACAAGTTCCTCGCTGGGCTCTACCTGGGGCCCACGCTTCGGACGGACGAGGTCTACATTGGCACGCAGTTGGGCGCGCTACGGGCCGGGGCCTTCAAGCGGTTGACGGTCGAGCAGCGGGCCGACAAGGACCTGCTGAACAGCCTCGTGGGGAAGCCGTGGGCGCCTGTGCCGACGGACGTGGAGGTGGACGAGGTGCCGGTGGCCATCGAGATCCGAGCGCCGGTGCCAGCGCCGGTCGCGCCTTTGGGCGGACCTCTGGCGCCCATCCCCGAGGCTGGGGACCTCCCGCCCCGGGCTCTCCGAGTCGGGCGACCACCTGCAGGACCGCGGGCCGTCTACATCAGGAAGGACCTCGAGATCGCGAAGTACGGGCTCTCCCCGGGCTGCTGCGGCTGCGCCGCGATCCTCAGCGGCGCCCGGGCGCAGGCTCACTCAGCCGAGTGCCGCGCTCGGATCGAGCAGGCGATGCAGGACGACGACGAGGCACAGCAGAGGCTCGAGGATGCCCGTGAGCGGAAGCGGCACTGCACTGACGTCGCCGGGCCTGTCTATCAAGAGGACGGCTCGTCAGGCAGTGGCGGTCCAGCCCCAGTTCAGCAGGTGCCGCCAGCGCCCGAGGCCGCGGCGGCGGCTGACGTGGCGATGGCCCCGGCACCACACGACCCCGGCGACGACAACATGCAGGAGGAGATCGGTGCCCTCCTGCTCTCTCTCTCGGCTACAGCGGGCGCAAGGCCGACGTGATGGAGGTCTTCTGCCCGAATAGGCTTGCGGGCTTTGCCCCCCTCTTCGGTCTGGTTCACGGCGGCTCGTTCGACCTGAGGTATGGCTGGGACCTGACTGACCGCCAGCAGCAGCGACAGTGCCGGGAGCTGATCTAGCACTTCGAGGTGTACTTCCTCTTGGGCAGTCCTCGCTGCGCGCCGTTCTCCATGCTGAAGTACCTGAATGAGGACGCGGAGAAGCAGCGTGAGGCCTACGCCATCGGGTAATCCAGAAGCCGCATTAAAGTGATCATTTTGCCCCTCTGTGACAGAGGGGGTGCGTTTGGAGGCCCTCTGTGACAGAGGGGGTGCGTTTGGAGGCCCTCTGTGACAGAGTTGCTCGTCATCCCGTTCCTCCTCATCCTGCTTCTTGATTTCGGATATGTCATGCTACCACTGCGCTCATCATCTTTGCGTCTGTGATCCTCGTCGTGTTTTTCGATGCGTCCTTTTCACAATTTCCACAACATTATCCTCCGTTACCGTTCTGCCCCGCCATCTACCTCGTCACTCTCCTTCGTCTGCATGTCCTCATTCTCATCCGCTCTTTTTTTTCTCCCCCCCCCCTGGTGCGATTTCCGCTCTTCGTCCACTTTGTTCTTCCGTTTCCACCCCCCCCTTCCTTTCAAGTTCTCTGCCGTCCAATCACATCGCTTCGTCCCTCGCCGCTATGCTCAAACCATCCCGCGCCCGTGGGATCGCCCGCGAGCAACGGTGCAGCCGGGCCCGTCGCGGCCTAACGCGCGCCTGCGCCATCGCCTTGCAATGGGCGATGCAGGCGGATGCACATGGGGTGGCGCGGAAGGATGGTGGGATAGCCGCAGCAGCGGCTGGCGTGGCTGGGAGGACGGCCATGATTGGTCAGCGTGGGGTTGGAGAGAGTGGCGACAAGACGGGAACACGCCAACGGAGGACGCCAAATGGCGCGATGGCCCTGCCGCCGCAGCAGCGGCGGCGGTCTCGCCTCAACGGCCGTCTCGCTTCGCCGCGCTTAGCGTTGTGAGCCCCCGCGCCCCTGGTCTCGGCATGCCCGAATTCGACAATTTCGTGAGGGCTGCCCTTCGAAACTCACCAGAACCTGGGGGCGCAGTTTCAGGAGAGGGGTCGGGATCCCGAGCCGCGCCTGCGGCGCAGGAGCCCCGCGCCACCGCAGCGGCGGCGGCGCGCGGGCCCCAGGATTTTGAGAAGTTTGATGCTAATTATGTTTTGAGTTATGAAGAGAGGCTCGGCACTTCGTTTAAGCAACACAACCAAGCGTTGAAATGGTGGCGCCACCTGAATGAAGACCCAACAGCCCCGTTCGAGTCAGAAGCCAAGTGGTTTGACAATGCGGAGCCCACCATGGTCGCTGTCTGCGACCACGGTGCGAGAACGAGCTTTGGTTTTAGAAGCGACAGGGAAGTCCCTTGGCGGTGGCAAGAGATGGCGGCGACGCTCAGGGAGGAAGATATCAGGGAGGTCGTGGGGGGGGCCAGCAGCAGCGGGGCTCTGATCGGCTGTTCCCTCGAAGTCCGGCCAAACAGCTACGACCGCATGCGCCGGAGCATTGTGCGCGCGCGACAGTTCGCGGGGCAGCGGGTGAAAGTGAAGCTGCCGATGTGGGATTTCGTGTTGCACCGCGACGACGGGACAGGCGTCCGCTTACACCCGCACTGGGGCGACAGGAAGGTCGAAGCTCTGCCCCTCGTGCCCCGCGCGGACACGGTGAGGCCACCAGCCGCGGGTTTGGGCGGGAGCGACGGGTCGGGAACCTATCGCTGGTGCAAGGACCTCGGTGTGGAGCGCAAGGTCAAGTTCGACGCCGCCAGAGAGAAGGGGGGGCCGACGCTTCTCAGGGGCCCCGCATCAGCGGGGCCGCGGCGTCCAGCACCGGGCCCTCGGCGTCCGCAGCAGCGGCTGGCAAACCATTAGTTTGGGGGCCGAACAGCTCCCCAGACGATTTGGTTGCGGAGTAGGTGGCTCCGCAGCAGCGGGGCTCGAATGAAGGGCGCGTTGCATTTCGGCAGGGGCGCGCGCGTCGGCCGCCGAGATCGGGGGCGCGCGTGCAGGCGCCGTGGCGCGATCTTCGTTCTGAAGTCTTCCCTCTCCTCCCTGTCCCCCCATCCCGCCGCCCTCAACGTCGGCTCCTCGCCGCCCGTTCCTCGTCGCTCCACGCCTGTTCGTTCTCCTCCAACTTCCTCTCCCGCTTCCTCGCCCTCTCCATCCCATTTTTCCCTCCATCCCATTGCATCCCTGGCGCCCCATCGAAGTTCGCAGTTCGAAATTTGAAGTTCGGAGTTCGAAGATCGAAATTTGAATTTCGAAGCTTCGCACTTCGAGGTTCGATCTTCGAACCTTCGTACTCTCGTCGTCGTAATCGTCGTCCTCGTTCGTCGTCGTCGTTCCTCGTCTGCGTCGATTGTCGTCGTCGTCGTCGCTCGTTGTCGTCGTCGCCGTCGTCGTCGTGGTCGGCGTCGTCGTCGTCGGTCGTCGTCGTCGCTAGTCGTCGTCGCTGGTCGCCGTCGTGGTCATCGTCCTCGTCGTCGTCGTCGTGGTCGTCGTCGTCCTCGTTGTCGCCGTCGTGGTCATCGTCCTCGTCGTCGTCGCCGTCGTTGTCGTGAAACGCCCCACGTAGGAGGAGCAGAGAAGGGAGTAAGGAGAAATGAGCACGGTGGAGGGGGGAGGGAGGATTGAACAGGAAGAGGAGGGTGCAGGGGGAGGTAGAAGGGATGAGGTAGTTCAGAAGTGGGAGCAGCAGACTGGCGCAAGGGGAAAAGCCATTTGAGCGCAGGGAGGGGTGGCAATACGATGAAGTGAATCCGCAGCCGCTGCAGGTCTGCCCCCCGCCGCGCCCGCCCGCCTCCGCGACGGAACCGCGCAGGGGCCTCTGCCGAAGTCTCCGCAGCAGCGGGGGCTGCCAGAGGAGGCCCCTTCGCGGCCTTGCGCCGCTATGGCGAGCATCGCGGGCAAGTGCGACGTCGATGACTTCGAGCTCATCGCGACGGATGGCAGTGCTTGGAGCTGGGCGACCATGGTGGCGCGGTTCATCCAGTGGCGCAATCGTTGCCGCCATGCACGCGCCGTTGGAGTCAAGGGCCAGATGCTCGTCGACCAGGGGCGGCAGATGATGGAGGAGGCGCGCCGCACCGAGGAGAAGGGCAATATGATGCTTGAGATGTCGAAGAAGACGGCGAAGGACATCCCAGGCAGCATTCGGTACTTCTGCCGCCAGCCGCACCAGGAGAGCTGAGCGGCGATCGGAGCTGGGCTCTTGGCGACATCTTGGGGCCTCTTGGAGGCCTCTCGGGGCCTCTTTGGGACCTCCTGGGCGCCTTCTGGGACGGAGGGCTCCATTTTTGAGTTCTCGGTATCCCTCCTGAGTCCCTCTTGGGCCCGTCTTGGGGCCTCTTGGTCCGTCTTGGGCGGCACTTGGGCCGTCTTGAGGGCTCTCTTGGGTCGTTTCGGCGCCGTCTTGGGAGCTTCGTGGGCCGTCTTGGAGCGGTCTTGGGGGCCTCTTGGGCCGTCTTGGAGCGTCCGGAAGCCGAAAAAGCCAGAACACAAAAAACATCGAAAAAACTAATGAAAATCAACGATTTTGGCCTCTTGGGGCTCTCTTCGGAGGCCTCTTGGAAGGCTCTTGGGGCGTCTTGGAGGCCTCTTGGGCTGTCTTGGGGGCCTTTTGGGCCGTCTTGGGGTCATCTTCGGCGTCTTCGAGCGCTCTTTGGGCGTCTCGGGGGCCTCTTGGGCAGTCTTGGGGGCCTCTTGGGGCACTCTGAGCGCGCTCTGGGGAGCCTGAGAGGCCGCACCCAGAAGGAAAACCATCTCTGAGTAGACTTGGTCGGGCGGCGGTCGGGCGGCGGTCGGGCGTTGGTCGGGGTACTTTTCGCTGGGGGACCCCCAGGGGCCGCCCCGCGCGCGCGAACTAGAAATACTGTTAATACTGTTAACCAGTTACCGGAGATCTTAGCACGCCCTGGCCCGTTGGGCCGGGGAATTGTGCGCCCTTCTTATATGGGTCGACCGTATCGCCCGTGCGCCGTCGCACGTGGGCCAGGCGGAATGGCGCACCAGTTCGGGCGGACGGAGCCTTGGAGCAGCTCGTCTTCCGACCGGACGACGCGCGGGGCTGGGAGGGCGGGAGTCTCCCGCTGTGGGCGGGCCTTCAGGGCCTCCAGACGCCCACCAGGGCACCGCCATCCCGCGATGGTTTCTGCTGTCACCGGTACTTGCTATGGCCGCCCCGGACGCAGGTGGCGTGCACGGCACGGCACGCGGCACGGCAAGCGGCATACGCCGTGGCATTGGGCACGCGGCACGGTTCTTGGCACGGGCCACGACATGGCGAAGACCAGGTCCCCGAAGTATTGCGCGGCATTTGGGGCGCAGGCGGGGAGCTTCGATGGACGATTGAAGACCGATTGGACCCAGCCGTGTGCGACGAGGGCCTCCTGAGTGTTCCTGTCTTGAGACAAGGGCCCGAGGTTCATGACGAGGAGGAGGAGGACCAGTGCAAATCCAAGTCTCATCAACGATGTTGAAATACATCATTCCTCCAAGATACCTCTTCATAGGCCCCTACAAGGGGGTCATCTCCACTGCAGGAATTGCCCCATGAGGGGGACAACCGTGTGAAAATCTTGAAGCGTGCCAACGCCGTTCTCTTGACGTCAACGCCACGAATTAGCCTGACTGTCACGTCAGGCGATCCTGAATCGTGCCAGAGCGCCTTTTTATGGGACTTCAAAACCGCGAATCAACATTATTGTTGCGCCCTGAAAATCCTGAATCGCTCCAAATCATTATGTCTGGTTCGTTAATCATGAGATCCAGTGTGGAACTTTTGCAAATGTTTGAAACGAATGTGCGTGGCGCTCAAGAGCCACCTGATGAAAACGAACCGCCCTGAATCCGTGAAACTCTTGCAACTGTTCAGAACGAATGTGCGCGGCGCTGAGGCGAGAGCCACATTTTGAAAACGAGTCGCCCTCAATGCATGAAGCTCCTGCAAATTTCTGCAACGAATGTGCTCGGCGCTACGGCGAGAGCCACATGATGAAAACCACCCGCCATCATTCCGTGAAACTCTTGCATTTGTTGAATCGAATGTCCGCGGCGTTAAGGCGAGGGCCACATTTTGAAAACCACCCACCCTCAATCCGTGAAACTCTTGCAACTGTTGGATCCGAATGTGCACTGCGCTAAGGCGAGAGCCACATTTTGAAAACCACCCGCACTCCATCTCTAAATATGTTGCCAATTGTTTAGCATCAGGGTCATCAGTGGTGAGGAAGTCTCAGGCGAAACGCTCGGCTCACCTTTCGACCGGCTTCGGGGTGCGACAGGGAGGAGTTATCTGTAAGGAAAGGATTGGAGGAGGAGGGGCACCAGACCGGGGAGGGAGACAAGGAGCAAGCGCGGGGCAGGATGGGCGGTCGGGCAGGGGAGAACATTGCGGGGCCAGAGCAGGGCAGGGAGGAGAGTGCGGCGTGCATCGGCCCGCTGGAGGGCTCTTGCGCCCGAGACCCGCGGCGCGGTGATTCCGTCACAGTGGTTTGGCCTGGGGCCTCGGGCCAGCCAGGAGGACGGTGTGGGCCTCGAGGGGCAGGCTGAGAAATTCGGGCCTCGCTCAGCGCATTGCCTCAGCAAGGCAGACGTCGCGTACGCTGTGGTCACACGACTGGACGCGCCCACCGTCCCCCTCTCCGTGATGATTTCTTGGCCTTCGAGCCTGGGTCGACCTGTGTTTGGACAGTTGGATGTCGCGGCTGCGCAGGCGGATCATTTCTGACATCGTTCCACAACAGTCGGACCGAGGTACAAGATCGAGGGCGGTTCGGGGAGGGTACCCTAGTATTCTTCGTGTTTGTTGGATGATCTTGTGCATCCTGGGGGAGGGTGGCCTTGGATGCTCTGTGCGTTTTGGCCGACGGAGGGTCTCGTGTTCTCGGAGGATGTTCTTCTGGCCTAGGTCCGGTTGTACACGGCGCCGATCTGGGTTGGCTCTGGCCTGAGTTGTACGAGCGAGGATTCTCGCTGCGAGCCCCCTGCGCCAAGGTGAACAACGACCCCAGCAAGATAGTAGCTTTCGGCCGGTCGATCGGCTCTGGCCCCACGGTCCGTCGCCGCAGCCGTTAGCCAGTCAGGTGTTATGAACGCATTCTCGGGGACGATGAGGGTGGCGGTGACGATGTTGATGGCGTTGATGACGACGATCGTACATTACGATGATGATACCTATGATGATGACGACGTTGAGAGAGAGAGAGAGAGAGAGGAAGCTGTGCACAGCTCAGGAGCGTTGGCATCGAATTCGGTGACAATGCGTCGTGCCGCCAACCCTGAAAACTGCGGCACGGACCTCTGCAACGGCGAGAACAACTAACGCCGCCTCGCTGGAAGGAGGAGGGAAGAGGAGGAGGAGGAGGACGACGACGACGAAGGGAGAGGGGGAGGGAGAGGACATCACAACTGCGAGCAAAACTGTTTGGCAATGTCCTGCCACGCGCCGGCTCTCCCTCGCCATAATCAGAACAAGGTTTCCTTTTACCACCAGCTGCCTCGCTTGACATCGCGAAGACATCTCGCTTCTCTCCTCGGTCTGCCACGCCTGCGGCGACCACTTGGCCAGCGTAAATCAAACGTCCCCGGCGCGAGCACACATCGTCGAACAGCATTGCGCGCTGGAAGTTGGGCCACCCTGCCCTTGAGAAAGACGGACGTGTTGATGAGGCTGGTAATGACGAGTGCCAAGATGGTTGTTTGAGTTTTGTAGTTCTCCAGAATATGATGCTTGTTCCGTCGCGGTTTGGACGGAAATACGAGGCCTAGGGGCCGCCTCAAAGTTTGCGGGGGGGGTGCACCACAGCGGGCTTGATGTGCAGATTTTGCTGGATCCAGGACTCCCACTTCCCAGAGGCTTAAACACGTCGTTCCTCATGTAGGTCCGATCTCGCGGGATACGCCCTCGCGGATGTCTTGCTGCCAGCGACGGGGCCTTCGGCTCGGTAGAGTTTTCAGGGCCCTCTCCTGCCCTCTCTCCGCAGCGTCTTAGTTTGCGCCGGGGGGCCCTCTGGCACTGGCCCGCCCCTGTACGTGGTGGGCCGACCGCAACGATGATAGCGATGATGCAATGAGTGTACCGACGATAACCAGGGTGACAGCCGTTCATAGTGAGCCAGAACGACGACCACGACGATGGTGGCCGTGTTGTTGCATCATTTTCGCGCATTCTCCCGTGTCATATCATGGTTACCGCTTGCTTGTTTGCTCACGCACGTGGCCCATAGATCTACATATATACACACATTTACACCACATCAACCACCTCCCCCACCCCCTCCATCTCCCAGGCAAGAGAAGAAGAAGAGGGTGGAGGAGGAAGGGGCGATGGACCATGGAGGTGGTGGTGGCGTGTACTCTTGGGGCCCGCATCACGGGGATTGGGAGGTTGTTGGGTTGTGGTAATTTCCCCAAGCTGCAGTGTCAAGGTTTCATGGGGGGAATCAGCGGTTGCCAGATGGAGGGCACCGCTGAACAGAACACGTCCCCACGCACATCTGCTATTCAAGTTCGAAAACTTGAGATGGCAAGCGTTATGGAAGACATACTAGTGATGCTGTGTTTGCCCCTTCGTGACCTGTCAGAACCTTCCAGTGGCCCGTTTGGGGCTTTCGTGGGCTAATCTCTGGACACCTTGAAGCCATCTTGGGGCTGTCATGGGGCCAATCTGGGGATTGCCACGCAATGAAGCTCGGTCGTTGGCAGCTCTTGTCTCTGTATGGTTGTTCGTATCCATCAGGTTGCCCTTACTCTGGCGGAGGGGGAGGACGGGCAGGGGAATCGTAGTGCATGTGGACTCGTCAAAGAATAACATACGAACGAGTCGAGCAACGAGCATCAATTCAAGCGGAGGTAACGAGTGATCCACTGTTTTGATATAATCGGCTCTTTTCCAGGCCTCAAGTCCAGCGGTTGCAGAGGAGGATCAGGTAGATGAGGATGATCTCTGGTGGATTATGCAGGGCGTCGATATTTTTGGATGCATTGTTTCGTGTTGTTGGGCGACATATGCTCGATTCTGGACCAGCGGGTGCCGCGTCGCGAAATCAAGTGCATCTCACGAACACGTGTTTCATTCCAACTTCCCCTGTAATCCTTCACATTCTCAGGTCGACCTGGTCTCGCGAAAGCCCGAGATTGGGGCAATGGCGCCGCCCCGCTTGCTTGGCTTGCTGCAAGATTGCTACTGAAATTGTGTACAGCACATCATCGAGGCAGCTTGTGGCCAGTGCGTCGTAATTGCGTCCATCTCGTGGACAACTCTACCGGTCCGAAATGGGGGGGGACGGCGAGTTGCGAAAACTGCTGGATGCAGCTTATCTCGGCTCTGACGCCAGGCGTAATTCTCGGAATTTGATCGATCCCAGCGCCTCGCGGCGCCTGAGGAAACCAGCTATGTATGCGCATGCATGTAATCGAGACTTACTATGTGCGCTTCTTTGATTCGCTATCCTCACCTCACCCTTCGTCCATCATGCCCGGTCCATTTCGATCCGATCGATCCGATACGGTATCGTTTTTGGCCGGCCCGATCCGAGTGGATTCTGATATTCCGACTGTCGGATGCATCCCGATGTTGGCATGGTGACGATTCGACTTCGACTCCGTGCGGTGCGGGCCGATCCGATGCGCATTCCGATCCGATCAGATTTTCCAGCTCGAGGCTGGCTGGTCCTGCTCCCGCATCCTCCTCTCAGGAGCAGCGCGGCTGGTTGAGACAACGTCGGCTCTCCCGCGAAAAGCGTGCAGGAGGCCAAAAGAGGGCGAGCAACGCCATGGAGGGACGCCGTGTGTCGATCCGATTCTCCGATTCAATGCTGACTGATCCGGCCACGAGCAGGGACGAGCGCCCGCCCAGGTTCGGTGCACCCACGGGTCCCGCCGCGCGCAAAACAGCCCGCCGCATCTTGTTTAAGCTATATTCCCAAACATCTGGTGTGGCCCTTTCCCATGGACTTCCAAAGATCTACGTGGCCTAGAGTAGCTCGAAGGAGAAGCGTCTAAGTGTTAGCTAGTGTGGGCCCCTTCTGCTGGAGCATGTGATATGTGGTGTAAGCTGTGCGAGTTAAGTCATGCGGTGTAAGCTGGAGGTGTAAGCTACGCGGTGCAAGCTATGTCCTGCAAGTTTTAGGAGGTGGAAGCTATGCGGTTGAAGCTGTGTGACGTGAGCGGTGCTGCATGCGCTATGTGAAGTAAGCCATGCTGCGTAGGCCATACTGTGGCCCCGCGAGCGGGCACGGGCACGAACGTGGCGATACCTCGACGGACCCAGTCAGCGCACGGCGCGGGCTTCCGCGAGCGGGCACCAGGCGAAACTTCGGCGAACCCGCCCGGCGCACGAGGCGCCCACGGGCGGGCACCCGGCGACACCGCGGCGGACCCGCTCAGCGCATGAGGCGCCCACGAGGCGCCCACGCGCGGGAACGCGGCGAAACTCAGGCGGACCCACCCGATTCCTTCCAAAGAGGAGCGAGAAACCCGAAGTGCAAGCATTGTTCGGGGAACGAGCTCAAGCTTTCGGAGGTCTGTGCGGGCTTCTTGGATCGGCGATTGGCCCACAGAGAGGGAGGTCCAGCGCCGATCCAAGAAACTGCGCGGACCTCCGAGCTGTGATGCTTATGCAGGTCGCTCCTTCTCCCAAGCGCATCGATGCATGCTGGCCCCGGTGCGCTCGGATCTGGGCCCGACGGTTCGACCTCGCCGAGTGTGGAGCCGGAGCGACACGTCGAAGGGGGCCGAGGCGCGCACCAGCCGCGGCACGCGGCCAGGTGCCTGACCTCCCGCCTGTTGGCGGGAGGAGCGTTGCGCCACGGGCGCACGCCGATGTGTTGGCTGGTCCATGCCGGTGCCCTTCGGCAGCTGGCAGTGGACCGCCTGCCTCTCCCCACTCGTTCTGTGTCCTGCTGCTCGTCCCCTTCCTCCTCCTCGGGGCTCCGCACCCCCAGCTGTAGTCGGCCTGGATTAGTAGGTTGACCCTGCCAGCTCAAGGGTACCCTTGTGTCCTGTGCCTCGCGACACGTGCCTTCTTACACTCCTGTGGCGATGTGGCCCTCGGAAGGGTCTTGTGCCCTCTTGCGTGTCCTGTCCAATCAAGGTCGACTGTAGGGTGACAAACAAGTCCCTTCTGATGGGCGCTGCCCCCATCACGAGCTTGACTTCCGAGCATCTCCCCTCGGGGCTGTCCTGAGGTAGGATTCCTCCACCTCCCGCCCCATCTTTCCTTCTGGTCCTCTTTTCCCTCCTCATCTTCTGTCCTTGTCCATCTTCTTGGGGGAGGGAGGCGAACATCTGGGCCCTCAGGGTGCACCTAGGTCTGGCATGCGTGACGTTTGATCTGAGAAGCTGTTGGGTGCAATACGACAGCGGGAGGCCATCGTATCATCCTCTAAGGTGGTCCCGCCTGTTCTGAGCAAGGCCAAATTGTGATTGTATGGAGGGTGTTTGATTCCTCCGTCTCCTCCTCCTCCTCTTTCTCCGTGTCATCATCCTCTCACCTCTCTTGCCGTGCCTTCAACCCCCGCCTCCTCTGCCCTTCCACGTGTCCGTATGATTTGTCTGGCCTCGCGCCAGGTGCTCCAGAGCCCAATCGAGAGCGCGATCCGCACTGTCATGAGCAAGCGAGCGCAGTGGTTTCTCCAAGGGACCGTTGCGGGATGACGGCAATGCTTGCGTGTTGCAGGAGCAGGGTTGCGGGGGATCGCCCTCCTTGGTGCGAGATGACCCCAATCCTCGTGTTCCTGCTTCTGCTTGTCCCCGCCTGCTCTCACTCATCATCGTCATCATCCTCCTAATCTCCCTCACTACATCCCTCATCAGTCACCCTCCTGCTCGTCATCATCCTCCTTCTCGGCATCCTCTTGCACCTTCGTCATCCACCTCGTTTTTTTTCCCTATCATCCCCCCCTCCCCTCTTCACACCTTCCTTCACGACCCCCCCCCTGCCATTCTCTCCTCCTCCCCCTGTCCCTCCTTCCGCTCCCGCTCCCCCTCCCCTCGTCATTATCCAGTCCCTCCCCCCGTCTCCCCCTCACTCGCTGCCCCTTCCCCCTCCTCCTAGTTTGCTTCGTCCTCCAGTTCCCCCCTCTCTCCTCCCTCCTCTCCTACCCCTCCCACCCCACCGACGGGATCTGCACAGGCTGCGGCAAAGCTCCTGACACAGTGAGCACAAGGTCTGTGAGTGCGAGGTGAATGATATTGTCAGCATCGAGGCCATCACAAAGTCCCAAAACCTAATTGTCAGATGGCTGGGGAAGCTGTGTTTACGGACCCAAACAGCGAGGTGATCTGGCGACCTAGGTTTCTACCGCGGCATCGTAATCCTGGCCCTGATGCGCCTACCTGGGGGGGCTTGAATGGAGGCTACGGGAAGAAGGCACCACAAAGGCCCATGGTGGACACCAAGAACATGGTAGCTATCGGGACCCTAGCGTGCAAGGCGGCTTTCATCGACGGCACAGGCACCAGCAAAGATTTGTGTACGTACCAATAAAAGCGGATGGGGCCTCAGCCGACAAGCGGATGATTCTATAGGCTTACGCCACATCCGCCGACCCCTTTTTTCCGCGTGGTCGTTATCACGGCTTCTTTGCAAGCTGCGGGAAAGATTCAGGTGGTGACCTTGAACTGTGTTCGGGTGCTGTTGGGCGGGCCGTCGCGCATGGGCGCCGTTTGGGGGGCCCTGTCGCGGGGGGTATCAGGCATGCACGGGGTGTTTGGGGGTTTTCTCCGAGGGTTCCGTGGTCGTCCTTGGGGCTTTTCGGGTGGTGGAGTCGGGGCAGTACGTTGCACGCCGGTGACATCTCAAGGGTGTCGGCGGATGCCGTCCGGGAGTACTGTGGATTATCATGGTCGGAGTCTTTCGGGTAGTGTGTTGCCAGGTGACGAGGATGGTCCTGCTGACACGACGGCGACCATGACGACGATGGTGATGCTGTTGATGATGACGATGATGACGACGTTAATGAGAATGGCGACGACTATGAGGAAACTGATGGTGATGATGATGGTGGCGGTGATGATGATGATGGGGAGGATGAAGATGAGGGTGAGGATGAGGATGAGGATGACGAGGAAGAGAAAGAGGAGGAGGGAGGAGGAGGAGGAGGAAAAGCAGCAGGATGAGGAGGACGAGGAGGAGGGGGGAGGGAGGGGGAGGAGGAAGAGGAGGAGGAGGAGGAACGATGATGAGGTGGAGGAGTAGGAGGGGGAGGAGGGATGAGCAGGAGGCAAAGATTGACAGCATGGGTCACGGGCCCCCGCTTCCGTGGACGCAGGTGCGAGCTCACTCTTCCTCTTGGGGCGGATGCGGAGGATGAGGAGGAGAAGTCGGCTTAAAATGGAGCCCCGGACTTGTCCGCGGGCCCCTTCAAGTAGTTTTTGTCCCCGGGTCGATTTTCGGCGGTCTCGGGCCCCGAACCCGGGCTCGAGGGGTTCAAAACGCCGAGGTGCCTTCGAAGCAGCTGCCTCTCGGGGGCTCGAGGAGACAGTTTTGAAGCCACTGGGGGGCCGTTTCGGGGCCTCTGGGGGACTTCCACGAAGGCGCTGCAGCGCGTCGGGCAGCGCGCGAATGCTGTGGACAGTGGGGAGGAACAAAGCAGGAGACGGAGACGGGGGAGGAGAAGGAGAAGGAGGAGGAGGAGGAGGAGGAGGAAAAGAAGGGGTAGGAGGAAGATGAGGACGAGGACGAGCGAGGATCTTGTCGTGGATCCTGAGAGGGATATTTCTCGAATGGCCCGAGGCGCGTCCCGCGAATCCCGCTGCCGTGCCGGGGTTGTGTGTCTGAGGCCAGTGGAATATTATTTGGGATCTCGCGGTCGGCCTCTCGGAGACCTCAAGTGGTGCCGACTGAGTACCACGCGAGGTACGTCGCGCGTGCGCCTCAAATGGTACCGCCCGCACTTTGGAGGCCCTTTGGGAGCTATTTTGGGCCTCTTGGGTGCCTCTTTTGGGCCTCTTGGGGCCTGCTTGGGGCCTCTTGGGGGCTTCTTGGGGGCCTCTTGGGGGACCTCTAGGGGCTTCCTGGGGGCGCCTGGGGGCCGAAGCCTCGAAATGAGTTTTTTTTTCCCCCCCCTCTTGGCCCCCTCTTGGGCCCGTCTTGGGGCCCTCTTGGAGCGTCCTCGGCGCCTCTAGGGCCGTCTTGGGGCCATCTTGGGCCGTCTTGGGGCCATCTTGGGGGCCCCTTGAACCGTTTCGGGGCGGCATTCAGGGCCTCGGGGGCCGTGTTGGGGCGTCGGGGAGCCGAAAAGGCGAAAAGGCAAACAAACATAATGGAACATCGCAAGTTTTAGCATCTCGGGGCCCTCTTGGGAGGCTTACGTGGGACCTCCGGGGCCGTCTTGGAGGCCCCGGGGCCCGACTTGAGGCCATCTTGGGCGTTTTCGAGCGCCCAATTGGCGTCTCGGGGGCCTCGTGGCCCGTCTTGGAGGCCACTTGGGGCCTTCTGGGCCCGTCTCGGGGCCCTCTTGGGCCCGAAAAAGCCCCGTGAGTCGCTCGTGCCGGGCCCAGGGGGGAGGGGCATCAGGGGGGGGTCAAATCGCCGGTTTGGGGGTCCCAGGGGGGGACTAGAGGGGGGGGGCTATCTCACGCGCCTAGAGACCCACAAGGGGTCGGCGGATTCTGCACCCATTGGCCTAGTACAACCGCATAGAGCAGGTCAACCTTGAGGTGGACGGGGATGTTGTTCAGACCGCTGAAGTGGCAAATGGCGCGGCTATCGTTGTAAGGCACGCGGGCACGCACTATTCACTCCCTGTGATGGGAGCAGAGGGCGCGCACCTGACGGGAAGTTGCCGACGCGATGTCAGCAACATGATTCAAACACTATGGGAACTTAGTTCCCGATCAGATGTCAACAGCAATCGTGAGCAGGTAGATGGAACTAGCCACGTGGGGTATTTTGGCACAGTAGACGGCGATCATGCAGTTCCAGCTGCCTAACCTACATCTTTCTTCTTGGCACCCTTGCTCGCCAGAGGGCGCTTCGTCATCTACACGGGCCGCCAACAGGTTCGCAATGGATGGCTTCATACATGCCGCCACAACTTCAAAGTGCTGTAAGAGGCCAGTGTCAGAGGATTGGCCAAGTATTGCAGCGCCGACCAAGAGGAGACGATGACATCCAAGTAGGGAAATGCTTGTCCCATCTGGACAAGGAGTCGATCGTCAAGGCTGACCAGGCTTCTCAGACAAGTGTCGGGGTCTAGCTGGCGGATGCCCTGACCCAGCGGGGGGGCGAATAACCGCAGCATGCTATAAGACACGAGGTACCGCAGTTGGCAGTCAAACTGTGACTCATCAGGGCCCACAGGTGAGCGGCAAAAGAACACCCATGACGCGGTTAAGCACGAGCGGATGAGGCCCGCGCCGACGGATACAGTCAAACAGCGGTGGCTGCAATGTGAGACGGGGTCACGGCATACGATTTGAAGCCAACTGGGCGAATGGTCGAGACTGCTGGACGTCACCAGGCAAGGACAGCCTGATCGACAGGATGAAGGCAAGCGGTAGCACTGGGAGGCAGTACGAGATGCTGCGAGCCGACCATGGAGACGCCGCGCAAGTGCCTGACAGCGAGATGCCAGAGATCCACGGCAAGGTCCTCCCCCACAGCCACCACGTCGCGGTCGCCCACTGCCAGTTCTGGCGCTGCAAGTGTGCGCGGGCGGTCTCGCGCAACGGCAATGGGCGAGGGCGGCCGGGGCTGCTGCGCGGGGATTGCAGAGACAGAATCACCGCGCCGAGCGGCGAGCACGTCCTCCTGCGGCTGCGCCATGGGCGCCCGCCGAAGGCTGTGCATAAGTGGCCTCGCGACACTGGGTCCCGCAACGGAGGCAAGCTTCACGCATTGCTGCTGGGCCGCGCCGAGCTGCGCGACCAGCGCGCGATCGACTGCGCAGTTCTCGGGCGGTCGCAGGCGATTTGGCCCCCCGCCCCCCGCAGGGGCACTCTGCTCTGCAGAGGCGACGGGGGGGGGGGAGGCGCTCGCGGCTGCTCTCGCTTTATTTCAAGGACGCGTGCGAGTAGCCCAACCGCGCCCGAGCGACGGGCGCGCGGGCCCGCGGCGGCGGCGGCGTCGATTGTGGACGCCCCGTGATCCTCGATCCTTGAACGCCCTTCCGCCGCCCCTGCCCCCCATCCGTTTCCTCTTCCAGTCTCTCCCCTTTCCGCCCTCTGATCGCGTCATTGCTCCTGCCCCTGCTGCTCATCCTCCACCTAGCCGCTCCTCGTCCTCATGCCCCTCCATCCACCCCGTCAGTCGCCATTTCGGCGCGAGACCCAGCGCCCCCGGCGCACGGGGCGGAGGCCTATGCTCCAAGGGCAGCGTTTGCCTGATAACCGCCCCAGGACATCGAGCCCCCCCGCGTCGAGAGACTGCGCAGCGCCCCTCTCCCAGCGCGGTCGACTGGTTGCGCGGGCGTGGCATCTGACTCTGGATCGGGATCTTCGGAGTCGGCGCGATGGCGAACGACGCGGCGCAGGGGAATTTCTGCGCGGGCCCAGGCGTTCTTCCGGGGGCTGTTCAGAGCGCGAAACAGCGCCGCGCCGGGCACGTCGGGCCCAGCGCAGGCGCGGAGCGGAGCCCCGCGAGACATTGTTGCGAAGGCCCGAGGGGAGGGCGAGAAGTTCGCTACCGCGGAGATAG